AAAAAAAAGAAAAAACAAAAATAACTATTCCTAATACTCAGAAAAAAATTTTTAATAAAACTGGCATAAAGTAAAAACTAAATTATTTAATAATAAATTTTATAACTTTTTAATAATTAAAATGAATTGACCAAGTTAAGACCAGCAATAGAGAAAATAGAAAGGTTCTACACATTACTTTGGCTCTAAAAAAAATAATCTTCAAAACTCCATCCAAGGTAAAGAAACTGACGATGACGCGAAACTACCTATACTTCATCATCCTAAACCATTACCGGCTAATAAACAAAAATGATTTACCGAAAACTAAACTGAAATCCTATAAATTTAAAATATTTTAATTAAAAAAACTCTTAACTTGCTCATAATTTTTTAACCAGGAAGAAATAGTTGGCAAAAGTTTAAATGCTTTTTTCACTAGCAAAAAAACACTTCGAATATTTAAGGCAATAAAATATAAGTCTCACGTTAATCCCCCTTGCCCCCTAAGAAAAATTTTGTAACAAAAAATGAGAAAAACAAGATGAATTCCAGGAATTATTAAATAAGGCAAATCTAGAAACAGCGAAACAAAACGTAAAGAAGAAAATTTTTGTGAGCTCTTATCTAATGATCTATGTATTTTTTTCAAACTTGCTGATTCTTTATCGTTATTCAAATTTCTGAGAAAAGACTCTATTTTATTTTCTTCAACACGCTGGCAATCTAGTTCTTTTTTTCGTTGAAATTGCTCACTTTTACTAGTAAAAATCTTGAACAAAATAAAGCAAAGTAAATTAATAAAAACAAACGCGAAAACAAAAGATGTTAGGCCAAATAACTCGTTACTTTTGATCAAAAAATAAAATCAAAATAAATCGAAAGAAAGACTAACAAAAATATCAAATACTCTAATTATAACCTCAAAAAACTGTCGAGTGAAAATAGGAACCAAATGATTGACAATATAAATTTTTTCTGTTGGCTTTTTGGCTATTAAATCTCTCTGTTTATAAGCGAAATCGAGTAACTTCTTAGTTAGAAAAACAGTAACTTTTCTTTGATAAGTGTCTTGTACATAATTCAAAATTGACTGAATAATTATTCGAAGAAGAAAACCTAGCAAAAAAAGAAAAAAGAGCAATTTACCTCAATTAACATATATTTTCTCACCTTGAACTTCCTGGACGACCGAATATTTTCCAAAAAGGTAAAAAAATCAACCTCTTTTTTCTTTAGAATAGGATAAATTTTGTCGCAAGTTAAAAGGGATTAAAAAAGCAAGATAATTGCTTAGAAAAATCAGCAAAAAAGTCAAAAAAAAACTTCATTTGCATTTTTTAAACAGAGTTTTAAGGATTTTTTTTCGAATCATTCTTTAGCCTCTTCTTTAGTCAAGGTTTCTTAGTTTTTCTTTTCACTACTTCTTGAACTGATTCTAATCCGCCTTCTTTATCAACTTTAACACGAGTATCTAGAATATTCAACTTCTGAGTAAATTTTTTTTCTCGTACTACTTGGATCGTTACTTCTCCCAAAATAACTATTTGTTCTTTAATTTTTTTTTTAACTTTTTGGGAAATTTCCCAAGTTTGATAGTCATCTACTTTTTCCGGATCAACAATTATCCAAACTTCTCGACCTGCCTGGAAAACATAACTCTTTTTAACACCTGGAATTTCTTTAGCAAGCTTTTCCAAACTATCCATTCGCTCAATATAAGCTTCTAATTGGTAGCCACGAGCTCCGGGACGAGCTGCGGACAATTTGTCAGCAGCAATAACAATTAGCGAATAAAGATTGTCCGCGGGATAGTCATGATGATGGGAAGAAATAGCATTAATGACCACTTCTGGCTCCTTATATCTCCGTGCTAGTTCAACCCCATTAAGAACGTGAGAATACCTTCCGCCATCCTCAATAGACTTTCCAATATCATGAAACAAACCAGCCCGGCGAGCTAAGAAAACATCTAAACCCAACTCAACCGCAATACTTCCTGATAATTTAGCTACTTCCACACAATGCTCTAAAACATTTTGTCCATAACTGGTACGATACTTAAGTTTCCCTAAATAACCAATTAATTCTGGATGAATGCCGGTTAACTCTAGTTCCCGTAGTGCTGCTTTTCCATTTTCAATAATTAACTCATTAACCTCCAAACTAATTTTTTGAAAAGTTTTTTCGATTTGAGTCGGAGAAAATTTTTCTTCCTTGACTAAAGAACTTAAAGTTTGTAAAGCTATCTCTCTTCGTAAAGAATTGAAAGAAACAACTTGAACCACTAATTCTTTATTTTCCTTATCAATTAGCAAATCAGCCCCAGTAACCCTTCGGAAAGCATTAATATTTCTTCCTTCCTTACCAATTATCCTACTAATAATTTGCTCGTTTCCTATTTGCAAAGTACTAGTTGTCTTAGGGAAAACTAACTCTGAACTATATTTTTCCAACGCTAAGCAGATTACTTTGGCACTTTCCTCTCTAACTTTGTTTTTTACTCGCAAAATTTCCTCTTCTTGAAAATCATGAAGTTCTTGAACTATCTCTTCTTTAAGCAACAAAAATAAGTGCTTTTTAGCTTCCTCAACGCTCATTAAAGCTATTTTTTCTAAATGTTCGGTTACTTGCTTTTTTACTTTTAATAATTTTTCAGATTTTTTTTGAAACTCTTCTTGTTTTTGTGAATCAATAATTAATTGTCGAGTAACTAATTCTTCTTTAAGAAATAATTGTTTAGCAAAACTCTCAAGTCTTTTTTCCTCACTTTTCAGATTTTTTTCATTGGCTTTTAATTTTTCATTTTCACTGACTAACTTCTTACGAACAATTTCTAATTGACTTTCTTTAGTTTGCAGTTTCCTCTTTCATTCTTCTTGAATTTGAAGTAATTTTTTGGTTTTAAATCTTTCCCTATAAGTTTTTCAAGAATAATAAATAAAAAATATAATAATAGCAAAAAGAATCGCTAATAATCATTCGTTTGGCATCATATGAAAGAAAAAGAGTTAAAAAAATTATTAAATAAAAAAATCAAACCATTAGTAGGAAATAACCGTTCTTTTTCTAACCGTGCTACTAGAAAAAATTTTTTGAATAATCGGCAAAAGTTTCAAATTGGTACTAAAACCTATTACATTCCAGTAAAGTTATTTCGCACTTACTGAGTCAAATTGAAAAAAATTCTTTAATTTAAATTTTACTGTTTTAGGAAGACTTTCCATCAGTTTTGATAAAATTTCTAGATTTCGCTGAGAAATCTTCTCTGAAATATGAATCACTCTCCGATGAGTTAGCCTAATAAATTGCTCTTGGGCATCTTTATATTTATGAGGAGAAATAAGTACGGTAATAACCTCTCTTTCAACTGGTAAAGGAATCGGTTTAATCGGTTTACCATCATTTAATCGTGCCCCCTGTTCAGAGATTAGTCGTGTCGCTTCTTCAAGAGAAGCTACATCGTAACTATGAATAGTTATTTTTAATTTATTTTTTTTATCTTTTGACATTGTTAATTATTTTTAGAGATTTAAATTTTTTAGAATTGAAATATACTAGTAAGTTACTTGATTTTGAAAATATTTAATTTTTTTGACTATTCTTTCAGTTAGTTGTTTTTAGCATATATTATTAATTTTGAGAAAGATTACCTTTAACTAGGTTAATTCCTGCTTGAACTGCTTGTTTTCTAATTTCGCCCCGAGAACCAGAAAAATGATATTCCTTAACTATTAAACTATCTTTAGTGGCCAAACCAATAAAAACTAATCCCACTAGTTTATTTTCTTGACTGGCAGGACCAGCATTGCCGGTAAAACTAAGGGCTAAATCAGTGTTTAGTAACTGCCGAGTATTAGCGGCCATTTTTTTAGCACATTCAGCACTAATAGCTCCATATTTTTTTAAAGTAAAAGCGGGAACTTTGACCAACTTTATTTTAGTTTCATTGTTGTAAACAATCAAACCCCCTTTAAACACTTGTCCTATTCCAGAAGTTTCTGTAAATGCAGCAGCAAATAAACTACCCGTCAAACTTTCACAACTAGCCAAGGTCAAATTTTGTTTAATGAGCAATTCGATCAAGTATCTCATAATTCTTTTTACAACTCTAAATTTACCAAATTAAGATAATTAGAACCATTATCCAATTTCTCCTAAATTAAAAAAATATTTCTCCGGCTTATGCTTATAAAGTCTACAACCTAGAAACTGACCGAGTCATTAAGAGTAGCAAAATAACAGGCTTAGAATTGAAGCAAGTTAAAGGAGAAAGGGGAAGACCAAAAAATATCTGATATTTTCAAAGTCGAGAATTGACAGTCCATCAGCGAGACGCCATTGCTGTTTTTTATGTAGTTTGAACCAAGTTTTTAAAAAGGTCTTGACCTTGGAGCGAAAAAAATTAACTCCCATACTTTCTTTCTAATATTGGATAAATGTCTGAACGCTTGCCCGCCTCTAATACTGTGATTAATAATTTCTTTTGGAATATTGTGTAAGCAACCCGATATTTGCCATGACAACGATATCTATATATGCCTTTTAATCTACCCTGTAAGGCTTTAACATTTTTATTAGTAGGAGAAGGATAAGGATTTTTAACTAATTCATTTTCGACCTTTCATTTAATCCTTTTTTCTGTTGGTTATCAAGTTTACTCAAACTTTTTAAGGCATCATCCTTCCATTCTACTTCATAATTTTCTTGCTCCATTTACTTCATTCAATTTTACGCATGCTTGGCTCTCAACTCTTCGAGCCTTTTTTCTGCCTCTTTTGAAGTATAAGTTTTACCATTACCTTTTAAACTTTTCACCGCAATTTCATAATCTTCGATATCTTCTAAATGACGATAAAGAGCCTCCTTCACATAATTGTCCTTTTTTTTGCTAGTAGTTTTTTCCAAGTACTCTAAATGACCTACTCATTTTTCAGGAAGTTTAACAGTTAAAGTTTTTAATTTTACCATATTTATTAATAATATTTATATTTTTTATCTTATGTATATAATAGTTTTAAATTAAAACTATTGCCGAAAATGCAGCAGTTGCCAAAGCGAAAGTGACTGAACTAGTCGCCTATCGTGAAAAATTTTAATTGGCAGTAGCGTTATTTTCTTAATAATTAGTAGTCAAAAAAAGAAACCCGCTAATTAAAACAAAATTCAGTTAATTTTTCTTATTTTTTAGATTACTGAACTCGAATTTTATATTAATCAATTGGATAACAATTTCTAACTCATAAATGATTAGTAGTATTATCTTTGAATCAGAAAATTAAGCGGTATTTTTTTCCGTTAGTCAATAAGAAATTACGGACAAATGCATCACGATCATTAGGATTGTCTTTTGGTTCAGGTTCCATTCTTTTTTTATTCAGCCTTTTTACCAATTCACAAATCAATTCATTAGTGATTACATCTTTATGACTTTCTTGGTAATGGTCAGTGATGGTTAATTTAATTATTTTTCTTTTATTAAACAGTAACTCGCAAGAATACTCTCAAACTATTTCTTTTTTTAATTTATATTCCCGGAGAAAGAAAAATTTTTTAGACATGCACTCTACTACTTGTCTTAACTTTTTTTTCGATAATAACTTTTACTTGGTAAGGAGAAAATAATTTATTAGCATAACCCATTAGACGATCGAGAGTAAAATGACCAATACGATAATGTAAAATATCTTCGGTTTCTGCTTCACTTAAATTAAGTTGTTGAGACAATTTTTTTATTGTTAATTTATTGTCTTGTTTATAAGCCAAAATATTCTCGCAAAGATCATACTTACTTTTTTCTAATGGTGAAGCATTTTCGGGCAAATCCCATGAGCCTCCTTGATATTTAGGATCCTCTATTTTAGCCAAATACTCCTTAAAACTCTTTTCTTTCTTTACCATAATACTTAATTTTAGCACTCTTTACCTTTCATAGTTTACAAACTATTATGATTGCTATAAAACAAAAACAATTAATCAATTGGATAACAATTTCTAACTCATAAATTACTTCTTTTTATTTACTGCTCACGAATAAATAGTCATTTTTTCTCCTGTTCTAACTTTTTTACCTGTCTCATCCTTTTTATAAATGTTAAGTTCTTTAACAGTTTTAACAATTTTTTCAGTATCTTTTAAACCTAATTCTTTCCGATAACAACTATCGCAATAAAGATGATTGCCAATTCTGCCTAGACATTCATAACAAAATTCTTTCTGGCAACTGTCGCAATTATCAAAATGTTTTACTTTCTTTTGTATTTTCCATATAGAAATTAAGAATATCAAAATAAATATTTAATATATTTTTATCTTCTTACTTTTTTATAGTCATGTTTACTAAGATCAATCTCTCAGGCTTCGTTTTTCTCCCAAACAAAAAAAATTCTTCATGCTCCACTGCCAGTTCTAATGCTCCAATAATTTTTAGTTCCAGCAATTGGTTCTAGACGGAAACCCGAGAACATTACAAAATCCCTTTTATCTTGTGCTTCAGAAGTTATTCTTAATCTTCTTCTTACTTCTCGGTCACTCTTAATCCCTGAAAATTCCTTAATTCATTCACCTTTTAAGTATTCTTCAATTTCTTTGCGTTTAAATTTCTTGCGTTGTTTTGTTTCAACCATTAATTTTAATAATTTAATGAAGTGTTTCTTCTTACTTTGGCTTCTTTGTAGGGCTTAATTTCTTTTTTTAATAGAGATAATTTTTCTTCCACTATTTCTTTATCATAACTTCTTTGGAGGTTTAATCAAAACTCTACTGTACTGTTAAAATAAATAGCTAAACGAGTGGCTAAATCAGGTGTGATATCTCCTCTTTCTTCACAAATTCATTGAATCTGTTCTTTCGGAACCTTTAAAACTTTTGCTAATTCACTGGGACTAATATTACGAGGAATTAATAATTCTTCCCTTAATATTTCTCCAGGATGAATAGGTGATGATTTTTTACTCTTCATATTAACTTAAATTAACTTAATTTTAGCACTCTTTACCTTTCATAACTCATAGTTTACTATAATTAGCATATAAGTTTGATAATCGTTATGAATGTAGCCAAGTGTAGTATCTAGATTAGAATAACCTAACTTTTTTGGATAGTTTCTAATTTGCCAAGGTTAGCCGCCAAACTTCTCCTAAAACTAAAAGGATTATTTTCTAATTTTATTAATTACTCTTAAAAATAATTAACTTCTTAACAAAAGAAATTTTATCAAAAATCTTTTGGTAAAAATGCTTTGGCAGAGGTGGCAGGACTCGAACCCACAACAATCGGATCTGGAGGCCGATGTTCTACCAATTGAACTACACCTCCAAACTACCAAGTTCGTGTTTTAATAATATTACCGTTTTTCAAACATAAAGAATAAGCCGTATTCTGTTTTAACCGATGATCTGTCTTAATTCCTTTTGTCGGGAATTACCAGTTGAGATTATTATTCTCTTTTTCTAGTGCTCCTACCAATTAAAAGAATTTGGATTGCTCGCTAGCGGGGTTTACGTCGTTCCACTTCCTAGGTTTCCCTAGTAATCGTCACTATAGCACTTTTATAGATTAATACCATACTCAAAATTATGGAAAAGAATTTAGGTATTTAGTCAGCCGTCGGGTAAGAAATAAACAAACAAAACCCGCCGAGGTTTATTAGACCTCGCACTAAAACTACTTACATTCCAGCAAGTGCGAGTACGGACTTTCCTCAGTTACTTTAACATAACTGCCATCAGTACTTTATGCAAAAATTTAAATTAAACTCTTAACTAACTTTTTCAACACAAGATGGACAATAAAACTCGATCTGTGTATAAAAGCGGTAACCACCTGTTTGAGGGTCTTTAAAAACCTGAGACTTTCTTACAAAAGATTTTCATCGTTTTATATCTCAAACATGTCCAACTTTTTTAATTTTCGTTGCTGTATCACAATCTTCACACCTCAAATAAGCTTCGGTATAATCACTAATAGAAGTTATTCCTTTTTTACGCTGAGCGTGAGATATATCACCAAATCTTAATATATCTTTAGTATGTATTTCAGTTCAAATTATATTGTCTCTTCGCATAATAATAATTTATTTTTTTAATTTTAAATAATTTCAACCATCACTAAAAATTTTTCTCTATTATTCATCATCTTTTTCCTCAGTTTGATCACCTTCGGCATCCGCCGGACCATTTCATCAAGCCACTAATTTTTCTCAATAAACAATACCTAAAACAATTAAGAAAGCGGAAACTAAAAGACTTCCTCCCGCTACCCAAGCATAGGGATTGCTTGAATTTCAGAAACTATTATCCTTACGTGGCTTCTCACCTTTGTCTTTGATCTTTTTATAACTATGATTCACTCCTCCTAATTCTTCACTATAATACTTAATTACACCGGCCTCAGTATAATCGTTGCCATCTCCATAACCGCTGGTGGAAACATCCAATGGCACATCATTATCTTTTTTACCTTTCATTTCGGTAATAAGTGTATCTTTTTTACTATTATCATGCTTAATTTCATAAGCAGCTCGGAACCCAATAACGTGTTCTGGACCAAGTTCAACAAAGTAATAATTTATCTTATCTTGTCTATCGGCAGTATCACCCGGGAAAGAAGTTAAACCTTTATCAGTTACATAAGTTTTTAGTTCAGTAAAAAAAATATCTTTGTCAGATTCAGATAACTTATCAAAGTAATTTACAATTTCACTAATTCTCGCGATACTATCTTTAAATAATCCTTTATTACCATAATTTCTTCATTCTTCAACTTTACTTTCAGAAATATCAACATCAACCTTAAAAACATTTTCGAGGTCGCCTGCTCTAAGAGTTGGAGCTTGATCTATATAATTATTAATCGCACTTAAATCAGCTTTTTCTTCTGGAGAAAGATTACCGAATTCCTCTCCTTTTTTCAAGTCTTCCTTAACAACTTCTAAGAAAGCTCTGATTGCTTCTTCATTTAAATTCTTTCCTTCTCTATTTTTTCAACTATTAAGCCTTTCTTCAAAATCAGCACCCGACTTTTTTCATACATCATAAGTCTTCATAGTAGCGTTTCTATTCGCTATTCACTGGTCTACATTATTATCATACTGTTGGTATTTTGGATCTAAAACTTTATTGGGAATATCTTTTGATAATTCTTTCACAAAATGATACAAACTCTTTATTGCTAAAGCTTCTTGAACAGTTATAACTTTCATTCCACCTGGTTTATTTTGATCAGCTGGATCAGTTATTTTTTTACCAAGGTGTTCTAATTGGGCTTCTAAATGTTCAATTTTATCAGTTTTAAGTTTTTGAAGTTTATCCTTCAAACCTCTTAATTCTCCCGCTTTAGTAGCTTCGCGAGCATTAATCGCAAGTAACTTATTTAATTCATGCGACTTTTTCGCTTGCAACTGCTTAGCATAATTAATCTTACCTTCACAAACCTCACTTATCATGGCATCTCAAACTTTATCTATATCAGTAAGATCTTCTTTAGTGTTCTCAATCATATATGGAACCACTAATCCACTATTTTTTAGGGTTACATAGTCTATTGCTTCCGCAGTTTTTCTAAAATTATGAAAGGTCTCAAATGCTTGGGAAAGAACATTGAAAAAAATTTCTTCAAAATCGCTTCAATAAACATTTAGATCAATACGCTGATCATCAGTAAGTGTACCAATTCTATCAGTCGCTTTAACGTTAGTGTCAATCATCCTCTTAACACGTTCTTTATAGGCCATAAATGGCAGATCAGTACCCGAGCCAACTTTTCAAATAAACAACTGACTATCATAAACAGAAACATCATCTCAAGCATCAAACTCAACTCCTTTTGCATCTACACCTTTCATAGTTGTCCATTGAATTGCTTTTGGATCATTATAAACTTGCCAAAAAAATTCAGGGATACTTTTTCCCTTTTTGCCACTTCAACTTAGTTCCAACTTTGTAGAAGGAAAAGCTTTAAAACGAGGATATTTACCACCAAGGCTTCTATAATGATTATCAGTTGTTGAAACAGGAGTATTATTTTCCCTACCCCGTCAATAAATAACATGCTCAGTATCTAAAGTTTTACCACTATCAGCAAAAGGCAAAGCATCAGCACCTGGTTTTAAAATATCAAGGTCGGAAAAATTAGCAGTTCCCTTAGGGAAAAGAGCATGCATGAAATATAAAACATCACTGAGATTTAAAACATGTCCACGAGCTTCATCAAAGTTTCTAGGAAGAATAAGATCTGAATTCCCGTGAGCCGGATTACCTGGAATTTCTTTATCATAGAGAACACTCATAGAACAATCTTCACCAATATCTAACTCATATCCAGATGAAATTGCATCCTCCACTTGTACCTCTTTAACCATTCTATCAAAAGCCTTTTTAATCTTATCAATTTTACCAGCATCACTAGAAAACTTTTTATCAATCAAAGCAAAAAGTTTTTTTCTATCAAACTGATCAAATAACTTTTTCATTTGCCATGGCAAACCTTCTCCCAAATAAGTTGGGTGAGCGTATTTTTTATCTGAATAAGGTTCTGCAACAGCAGTTTCGATTATTGATCCTAAGGTAGGAATTGTTAGCGTAGTTTTAATTCGATAAACTGTTTCAGCAATTCTTCGCTGGCTCTCAACAGCTCTATTTAAAATATTATAAGCCACTTGACCAGGTTTTAAATCAGCTTTCAAAGCATTAATAATATTCTGAACTTTGTCCCTATATGCTCTAGCTTCTGCTTGTGTTTGATTTTTCTTTAATTCCTTATCAGCTTTTTCAATCTCTTTGAGTTGTTTTTCTACTTCATTGCTAATACTACTTAAAGCAGCATCTGCAGCTTTTATTTCTGCTGTTAACTTTCTGTTTATTCTTCGGTATTGGATAGTTTGATAATCATGAAATATTTTGTCAACTCTTTTTTCTCCGTTTTCCTCTGTATTAACTAATTGATAGGAAACTTTATTATTTCTTCTGTTATCAAGGAAATTAATTAACAAATCGTTACCTTCTTTACTTAAATTTTTTTCAGCATCATTTTTTTCATTTTCTAATTCAGCTTGAGCTATTTTAAGATTAACTAGCAAAACAACAGTTTCTCTTAATTTATCCTCATCTATTTTATCAGAACCATCGGTATTTTTTACAATATTACCATCGGCATCTTTTACTTTTAATAAATCACTGTCAAAAATAGTTTTTTCGTTATCCTCCAAATTTTTGCCATTATAAGAATAATCCTTCGCCTTTTGGAGAGTATTAATTGCTATAATATCTGCATCAGTGATCTTTTTTGCTGGTTTTGGCATAATGTTTTTTTTTTTTTTTTTTTTTTTTGCCTATATTTACCCTACTTCCTTAATAATCCTAACCAGGTAAGAAAGAATAAATATCCACAAACTTCTACAATATAATATATTTTTTGTTACTTCATCTAACTATCTACTTACTCTCATTAAAATTATTTTAATTTATTATATATATAAAGTTTTAACAATAAACGTACATATATACAGAAGTTTTCTTTATCTTTTCTCGCTAGAAAAGGGTTCAGAGACCTTGTATAACTTTCATCTTTATCTATATATAACTTTCATCTTTATCTATATATAACTTTCATCTTTATCTATATATTATTTTTATATTATTTTTATTATTTTAATATGTAGATCTACATGTAGAATAAAATTAGTATTATGGTAAACGCTCAAGAGTGATTGAATAAAAATTATCCTAAAGAAAAAAGAAACAAAGTTAAAGAATTAAACATTAGCAAAAAGGATTTAGTTGGTTCACTGGTGATTGATAATTGACCAAGATTAGAAATGATAAATTGTACACTCAATAAACTTACTAATTTAACCATCACTAACTGTCCTTTTCTTAGTTCACTAGTTGCTCATAGGAATTACCTTAATAATTTATCTCTCGATCATCCTAAAAATTTAACCTATCTAAGCATCGGAGCTAATAGATTTTCTCTTCAGGATTTGGGCATTTTTAGCAATTTCATCAATTTAGAAGTTTTTTATTTAGCTAATAACTCTTTTTGTGGTAGTCTAGAACCCTTGAAAAGTCTTAGTAAGTTAAAAGATTTAAGTATTATCAATACAAAAATCGACTCAGGGTTAGAATATTTACCAGAAAGCCTAGAAATGCTCTGGTGTGGCAGTTCTCCGGTTGCTGAGGAGTTAAAAAATTACCAACTTTATGATGTAAAGGATGAGCTTGGTAATATTTGTAGTGATTATCAAACTTGAAGAAAGGATAATTTGGAATTGAAAAAGAGAGATAAATTTTCCAATGTTAAGGAAAAAATGATGTTTACTGAAAACAACCGAGCCAAACCTACTCTTAAGCGTTTTATAGCCAGGGGAGGATATGGAGAAGTATATTATGGCAAATGAAAACTACAAGATGTAGCAATCAAGAAATTGTTTTTATCACTTCCTAATACTTCTGAATCTGGTCTTAAAGATATTAAAAGAGAAATAAACATACTTAAAAATCTGAGAAATAGATATATTATTCAATACTATGGACTTTATTCTGATGACCAAGAACTTTTCATTATCATGGATTATGCCGAAAATGGCACTTTAACTAAGTTTATTAACGATAACGAGAATAAAGAACATGATTGAAATCTTGATAAAGAATTGATTGAGCAAATAACCTCGGGTTTAGTTTATATTCATCAACAAAGAATTATTCATCGGGATTTAAAAAGTATGAATATTTTGCTTGATAAACATCTTCAAGTAAAAATATCAGACTTCGGATTATCTAGAACTAAGAATATCAGTTCTTCTCAATCAACTCACGGCATAGTAGGAACTTTAAGGTGAATGGCTCCCGAGCTTTTGCAAGGACAAAAATATTCTGAGCAATCTGATATCTATTCTTTAGGGATGATCATTTGAGAAATTGCTGCCAAATGCACTGAACCTTTTAAGAATATTGACTATAATTTAATAGGCTTTCACATTATTAATAACAGAAAAGAAACAATACCCGATAATGCTCCTGAAGGTATTCGTCATATAATCGAACATTGTTGAAAGACTAATCCTGACGAAAGAATAACTTTAGAAAATATACTTAAAATAGTTGGAAATGATAAAAAAAATAGTCAGTTGTTAGATCTGCAAAACTTGCCACTTCAAAACCCAGAAACTAATGAACAAACCTACAGCAGTGAGGATTTAGATTTTGACATCAATAGGTTTGATCTTGATAAACTAACCATTCAAGAAAATCATCAAGAAGAAAATTCTACCCAAGCCCAAGTAGAAATCTCACCTAAATAACAAGAAAATATGAATAACAACAATAATTATGTATCCAGCAGAGAGAGAGAGAGAGAGAGAGAGAGAGAGAGAGCAATAAAGTATGATTATGAATAATTGCCGGTATTGTGGCAGTTAGTGTAATAGGTTTAGGTGTTTATTTTGCTACTAAAAGTCAAAGTAGTAATAAAAATCCTAACCCTGGTAATATTCAATATTTACCAAACCATGTAGAAGCCCAACAAAAAATAAATGAAATAAAAACTGCCAAAGGTATTGATGACCAACAAGCCACCATTGAGTTTTTAGCCCGTTATATTCCAGAAATTAAATGATGAGAAGTTAATTCTTTATCGGAATTAGACGAGAAAATAGCCTTAGTAAATAGTAAATGTGGTTTTCCATCTTTAAAGAGTGTTCCTAATAACCAACAAAGTTTAGATGATTTCAATGCTGAATGAAGAGATAATTTTCTTTATCGTAATCTAGCTTTTATTGCCTCAGTTTGTCCTCGCAAAAGTGATAAAAGTATTGATTGAAAAGGTAAAACTAATTTTGCTGATTATTTTTTAGCCTTGAAACCAGAATTAGAAAGTTATAAGTTTAAGCCCGTTTTTGCTACTCAGAAAAATTATCAAATGCTTGATATGGCAGTCAAGGGACAAGTCAACAACTCACTTAGTTTAACTTGCTCGCAATTTGCTTATCTCTCAACTGTTAAAGAACTAAATAGTCTAATCAACGAGTATTTAGGTGAAATATTTAAAGCTAAAATTTTTGGTGAAGTTATCTATGATGAATTAGGAGAACAATTAAACATTTCTAATCATTCCAAATATGAATTACAACCAAGTGGTAATAATTCAGTAAATCATAACTGAGGAGTTTTCTTAACCGGATATAAATTAGGTAAGAAAACAAACTAATTTAGAAGAAGTCTAATTATTCTACTTCTTCTATGATAGGAATTTCATTATCGTCATCAAAAATTACATAATTTTCATCTATAATCTCTTTAATCTTGTCTTTAACTTCTTCTTTAGTGTAAAACCTGTTCATTCCTAAAATTCCGTTGACAAATTTGTTATAAGTTTCTTCGGCTCTTTTGCTTGAAAATCATCAACTATGGCTACTACTTTTATTGATAACAGCAAAATTAATCTCAATGCCTGGGAATTTCTCTCACAAACTTTTCACTTCAATTCATCCATGTTCTTCATCTCCACTTTCTCCTAATTGACTAAACAAATTATCTATTTTTTGCCCTTTTCATCTAACGGCTGCTTCGTTATAGTCATACCGGAAGATATTACTTTGTCCAATTATATTTTCTACATAACTTCAAATTCGATTTAGTTTAGAAAATTTGTCTCTTTCTTGGGCTGTTATTTTTCCTATTTCTGCCTGTTCTTTTATTTTTTGCTCGGCTATTCTTGCTTCTTCTGCTTGCTTTTCTTTTAACCTTTTTATTTCTTGCTGAGCCTCTTGGGATTCTTGAGCTCCTAATTTCTTTAACTTTTCCAACTCTTCTTCATCTTTCTTCTTTTTTGTTTCTAAATCTTGTTGAGCTCTTTGGAGGGTTAATCGGTTATTTTCTTTAAGTTTGTTAAATTCATCTTCGGCTTTTCTTTGTTGATTTAGTAAGTCTTGCTCTTCTTCGGCTACTTTTTTCCTTAGAGTAACTTCATCCTCTTTTCGTTTTTTTTCAATTTCAGCTCTAGTTTTTAAGTCATCATAAGCAATTTCTTCTAACTTTCTTTGAGTTTCTTCTTCTAAAAGTTTAATATTTTTTTCTAACTGTTCTTGGTTAAATTTATTCTGTCGCTCTAATTCTTCTAAGTCGGCTTTTTTCTTTAGTTCGGATAATTCCGCTTCTTTTCTTTGGTTAGTAAAGTTTTCTTCGGATTTTTTAATCTTATCTTCTAGTTGCTTTTGCTGAGTTTTTAAGAAATTTTCTTGTTCTTCTTTTAAGGCTTTTTCTCTTGCTGTTTTCGCTTCTTCTCTTAATTTTTCTTCTTGTTCGGCTAACTCTTTCTCTTTTTGTCGCTTTTCTTCCTGTTCTTTAAGTTTACGGTCTTTCTCGGAAAGTTTTTGTTCTCTTCTTGATCTTTCAGATTCTTCTAACTTACGACGAGATTCTTCTCTTTCTAATCTTTTGCGTTCTCTTTCTTTTTCTTCTCCTTCTAAACCAGCAAGTAATTCATCATATTTATTAGAGGTAGAAGTAGACGCATCTATTGCGGGAGTTCCTAAGGTTTCAGCAGTAATTTCTTTCTCCTCAGGTTTTGGTGGATTTCAATTTCCTAATATTCGACTGACTTTTTCAGCAAGGTCTTCTAAGTCTAGATTTTGGGTTATTTCTCTTTGATGAGAAGGCTGAGAAGAAACATATTTTTTTCAAAACTCTTTATTAATAGTTAGATTAGGGTTTTTACAGGAATCTATCCATTCTTGATAACTTGCTTTTAATTTAGGATTATTTTCTAAGTAAAGAGCTAAAGAACCAGTAATAATTGGATTTTGAATTTGTCTTCATTTTTCTACTAAATTATTTAGTTTATTATTATCAGAAGGATAACTATTTAACAATAAATTTATCCGATTAAATTGTTGTTCTTTTGGTAAATTTTCATTAGATAGTTGTTTAATAGCTTTTTTTACAGCCTCTTTTTCTTTACCAGAACAATTATTTCTCCAAGTATCTAGGATGATCAGGATTTGAGTAATTATTTCTTCTATTTGTTGAGAATTTAATTGTTCTTGCTCTTCTTGATTATCCTTAATTGGTTCAGTTTCAAAGTTTTGAATAGCAAAGATTAAGAGTTCAAAATAATTGTATTTAGGAATAGTTTTAAAACCAAGAGTTAAGAGTATATCCTTTTGTCATTCTTTAAACACTCCTATTTTTACTCAGTTGTCTAAATAGAGATTTAGGTTTAAACTCTCTTCATAGTTATTAGCAAAAGTAAGAAGACTATGTAGGACAGATAATTTATTCTGCTTGATTTCTTCCTTATTAAGTTTTTTTTCTGCTATTTCTTTCTTTTTCCTTAAAGTCTTTTGTTCTCCTTTTAAGAATTTTTCTTTTAAAGGTAAATAACTACTTTTAGGAGTTCCAAAAGCAGTATGTTGATCCGGAATAATTTCTTCTTGGACTAAGAAAGTTTGAGTAGCAGGTTTTAGGTGAAGAGATTTTAATAGTTGGAGTGCTTCCTCTGAATACTTATCTTCTCTAATAAGAGGACTTAAACTGTTTAGGATATTTTTCTGTGGTCCAGTAAGAGAAAAAGTTTTAAATTGGTCAGGGTGAATAACTTCTAATTGTGCTTGCTGTTCCTCGGTTAATTTCAACTTATTTAAACCAAAATCTAATAAATGGTCTTTTTGTTCCTCGGTTATTTCTCATTCAGCTGCATTATAAGGTTTAATTCCCATTTCCTCTAGGGCTGATCTTTGTGCTTCATTTAGATTAAGGGTAGCATGAATAAATCTTAAAATATTCTCCTTTTCCTTAGTAGTTAGACCAAATAACTCTTTTTCTCCCCGGCAAGTAATTAGTAATTTAACTAGTTTCTCCTTTTTTTCATAAGTATTTATCTCTAAAACATTTAATCCTGAGTTAATTAACTGTAATTTGCCTAGTTGAGTTAAACTTAGATAGTTATTAGTTAGCCAATCCTTTTCTTCTCGGGTTAAGTAAGGAGTTTTTAAAGAAATCGCAATATATTGCTCTAAGGTTAATTGTAAATGAGATAATAAAGTTTGTTCTTCACTCGAAGGAACCGCTAATTTTTCTAATCTACTTAACAAAGATTTCTTGGCATTACTTCCTTTTCCACTATCTTTAATTAAGTTTTCCGCCTTCTTTAATTCCTTTAACAAAATTGATTGGTTGGCAAATTCGGGATATCTTTGATGAATTAATTGTCAAGTTATCCGAGGATTTTTTAATCCTGCTTGGGCTTTTCCTAGATTATCCTTTAATTTCTTTTCTATCTCTTGAGCTTTTTGTAAAGTTTCAGCCTGCTTTTGCATTTCTTCTTCTTGTTGGGCGATTTGTTCTTTTTCTAAAACTTGCTGCTGAACTAATTCACTAAAATGCTCAGCTTTTTGGGAAGTAGAAATATGATTAGTAAAAGGATTAGTGTATCCGAAAATTTGAGCGGTATTTTCAGTAGTTAGTTGGTTTAGATTTTCCGTTATTCGGGCTTGTTCGGTTTCACTGAAATTAGCCTCTTTTAATAATTGTTGTTGTTGTTCTAATAAAAAAGCTTCTCTTTGGGCTTCTTCTTGCTTATTTTGGTATCAAGTGTAAGCATAAATTCCAGCAATACAAAGATTAAAGCCTATTACACTAGGTCATTTATATTTTTCTTGTTCCGGAGCAGAATAAGCGAGAACATTCCCCATAATGTAGCCAATGATTAGTAAGTATTTGCCTCATAGATCAGCATATTTTTTTAATTGCTCTCGGTAATAATAAGCAATGAGGAGAATAATATTTAAAACTACCGAACCAGCTAAGCCGTTTTTCTTATAAACTACATACTCTAATAAGAAAATAATTAAAAAGACCATGAAGCGACTCATGGTTTTTTGACTAGCAGCTTCAGCTACTTCTTTTTCTTGGAGTTTTTGGACTAATTCTTCTAATTTTTTTTCAAGAGTATTTTCATTTAGATTATTTTTTTCTAATTCTTTTGGTTGTTTTTCTTGGAGAGCTTGCTGATTAAGGGTTTGAATTTGCTGTCATTGCTCTTTTATTTGTTCTGATTTACTTTCTTGGAGTTCTTTTTCCAGTTTTTCCAAGGCTTCTTCAAAATCTTGCTTATTTTCTAAACTTAATAATTCTTCTTGGGCTTGCTGTAATTCTTTTTCAATTTTTTGAGTTTCTTTAGTTTCTTCTTCTACTTGCTTTTGATTTTGTTTAGTAGGATTAGTTTTAACTCGGTTTTTGGCTTCTTTTTCGGCTTGCTTTTGTCTGTCTAAGGCTTTTTTCTTGATTTTGACTTTACTTTCGGCTTTGATAACCTCTAAGGTAATAGTAGCCGAAGGTTTAGGAAGAGTAGTTAGGGGTGGGGCTGATTCTACTTCTTGGATGTTTTGGGCAATTTCTTCCTGAATAACTTGTAATTTTTGTAAGATTTCAGTTTGAACTTTATTAACTTCTTCTAAAACTTGCTGAGTAGTTTCAGAAACTTGGGTTTCTTCACCTTTTTGTTCTTCACTTTGGACTTGCTCTTGTTGAACTTGTTTTTGGTCTTGGTCTTCACCTAATAATTGGGCTTTTTCATTTTCTCCAAACAAGCGAGTATCTCAACCTCATTCCTGTAATTGTTCTTTACTATATTTCTTGGCTCAGGAACAATTAGGATCTAATAACATTCCTTCACTACCTTTTATTTCGGTTTCAGTGCCGGTTCTTATTCCTACTAATCATTCCTTATTAGCAGTATAATGAACCAAGTTTTTAGTTTCTTTAAGAAGATTAAGAGTGGCTAAGAGTTTGGCTTCTTCAGCTTTTAGTGCTAAACTTTTTTGAATTTTAGTTAAATTAACTTCTACTTCCGTATTATCTAGTAAGGATTGAGCCTTCATGTAATTGTCTAACCTTTCATTAGTTCATTGAGCTTCTTGTTTGGTTTTTTCCAAGTCTTCTTTGTTTTTTTGGATTTGTTCCTCAAAATTTTCCAAGTCATCCCTCATTTGTTGGACGTCTTTGGTTAACCGGTCAACTTTCTTAGTAGCATCCTTGGCAATGTTTAAAGTTTGTTCAGTTTTTTGGTTGACTTCCTTAGAGATTTTATCCATTCGTAAATGGACTTCTTCTTGAATATCATCCATTTGTTGAGCAACTAAGTTTAATTTTCTTTTTTGAGCAAATAAGATATCATTAGTTTCTTGGATATTCTCGGCTAATTCTTGGTTAAGAATGTTTTGCTTTTTTTGTTCATATTTGACATTAGCGAGATCTTCTTCGTGTTCAGTAAGAATTTCTTGGTTATCTTTTAACTTAGCATCTACTTGTCGAGATTTAGTTTCAAATTCTTCTTTAATTTCTTCTAAGGATTGTTGATATTTAGTTTCTTGGATTTTGAATTTAGAACTCGTTTCAGCTTGATAATCTTCAAAATCTTGTTGAGTTTCTTCTAATTTATGATTTAGTTCTTTTTGTTTTTGCTGAAATTGTTCATTATTTTCTTCTAGTTCTTTTTTAAGATTGTCAGTTGCTTGACGAGCAATATTTATCTTAGTTTTTATTTCTTTAACCTCTTCTTCTCTTTGGTATTTTTCTTCGTCTATTTTAAGGGTATTTTCTTTAATTTTTTGTTCTTGTTGTTCAAATCTTTCGTTAACTTCTTGTTTGAATTCGTCAAGTTCTTTTTGGAGTTCTTGTTGAGCTTTGGTTAATTTTTCTTCAACGGTGTTAATAGCTTCGGTTAACTCTTGCTTTTGTTTTTGGAGTTCTTTTTTTCTTTCTCTAACTTCTTTTTCAATTCTTTCTCGGTTTTCATTAGTAGCTTCTTTTAATTTTTTGTCTAATTTTTTTAGTTCCTCATCAGTTTTTTCTTTTTGTTGTTTGAGTTCTTTCTGTAATTCAGATTTAACATTGTTAATTTGACCTTGGAGAGCTTTACCTTGGGCTTCAATTTTTTCATTGGCTTTATTTAAACCATCTTTAAGGTCTCCTATGTCGGAAGCAAAACCGGAAAGTTTTTTTTCTAAATCCATGCCGGCTTGTCAATCTTTATAAGTACCGACAGCTTTTTGGACAAGACCACCAACAAACGGAATACTACTCGAAAATCCTTCTACTACACCTAAAACTGCGTCGTATCATGCCATATTATGCTGTAAATTTGTTAAGACTAGAAAGATCACTTCTAGAATATTTTTGTAAAAAATTTGTTATATTTAGTTTCATATTTGTATTAAATGAGTAATTTAGAGTTAAAAATAAGAATTGTTAAGGAGGAGATAAGGGAAAACAAAAGAGAAAAAAAGAAATGTTTAGAAATTTTGCTAAGTGTAATTGGTTCTTTCGTTGGTTTAATCGTTGTTGGCTATTACTATTATTTCATCAAAGGAGAAAGAGGAATTAAAGAAATTGTTCTTTCAGTAATTCTACTGTTACTTTGTCCAATTCTCGGTTTTTACTGATACAACAGATATAAAAAGGCTAGCAAAAAACTAGATCAGTTAGAAAGAGAATTGTATTTACTGAAAGAAAGTTTAAAGGATAAAGGCAAATAAACTTTTACAAGGGAGAATTTAGGAAAGAGAATATTAAAGATGTTTTTTTAAGCGACTATTGGAAGATTTAGAAGAAAGGGAAATAGAACGTGAATTTTTATTAGTAGATAAAGGAGTAATTTGCTTTTTGATCCGTTTTTCTTGGTTTTCTAAAATATCTTCTAGACATTCCCTTTCGTAAGCTTGCTGTAAACCTAATCAAAAATCATAAGACATTTTGAAATAAATAGCCAAGCGACAGATTATTTCGGGCGTTAAATTTCTCTTTTCTTGGCAAATTTCCTTAATTATTTTACTAGAAACACCAATTTTTTTGGCAAGATCTTCCGGTTTCATTTTTAAGGGAACAAGAAATTCTTCCCGTAACATTTCGCCGGGATGTAAAGGAGTCAATTTTTTATTTTTGTTCATAATAACTTAATTTAATTTTAATGGTAATCAGTAATTTCTACTTCGTAAGCATCACCTTTTATTCAATAAAAGCAAATCCGATATTGATCTTTGATAGTAATACTTCTTTGACCTTTTCTATCTCCGAGAAGTCTGTGTAAACGATTACTCGGAATTTGGGCTAATTCTTCTAAACTTACGGCTTTATCTAAATCTCTTAACTTTCGCCGAGCAATATCTTCAATATGTTTTCACTTTAACACTCTTTTTCTTTCAAAAAGCATTTTAGTGTGTTTGTCTTTAAAAGATTTGATCATTACTTAATTTTTTTTACTTCTTTTACTTTATTTCTTTAAGGAGTAACAAAGTTAAAAACTCCCTTTTTAATATTTTTTTCTTTTTGCGATATTTAGTGAAAATAGGTTTAATTTCTTCATCAGTTTTTACTCTTTCTTTTCCATTTTTTCTTTCTTAATTTCCAGCGATTATTCACAGAACTATTAACAGGGCGACAGCAATCCAAAATAATCCCCGGTAAAAAGTAGGCTGTTGCTGATACTTATTAACTGGATTATATTTATTGGCTTCGGTTTGGGCTCTGTTAACTTGTTGAGAAATGAAATTTTCTAATTCAAGGGTTCTCCTTTCAATGGGTTGTTTAATTCAGTTTTCATAGCGGTTATTTAACCATTCTTTAACAGCGTTTTTAATAGGGTTTGACATAAATTTAAACTTATTCTTTTGAGCGGTTTTTACTTAATCATCAAATAAATAATAAATAAACTAAGATTAAACTAAGCATTGGTCCATAGTCAATTCATCAGTCTGAATTATTTTCTCCTAACTCCTTTTTGCTTAATTTTCATTCTAATAAAGCTTTTTCACCGGATAAACGAGTTCTTTCTTGCGTTAAGAGTTTAAGGTTTTTTTCTAAGTTAGTAATCTCCTTAGTGTCTTCCTTGATTTGTTCATCTAAAACTTTTTCAACTTCTTTTAATTGCTCCCGGTATTCTCCAAATTCTTTAAGCTTACTTAATCTTAATGCTAAAATCTTATCCTCTAACTCTTGAACTTTCTTTTTTAGTTCTTTATTTTCGGTTGATAAAGCAGTTACTTCACTATTAGCAAGAGGTGGGGGAGGAGGAGTAGGAATATCTCCCAAAGATTTAGAGCGTTTTAACCGTTTAATATCTGAAGGTTTAATTCCAGGCGTTACGGTTTCTTTTAACTCTTGTTGTAATTGGTCTTTATTAGTCATAACATTTTCGTAGTTTATTCCGGTTTGGGCAGGTGCTTTTTCAGTTAACTTCTTTTGTCATTTTTTCATAAATTACCTTCAAGGCAGTTGGGTTAGTTGACAAATGAAGCAGAGGTTAGCACCAAAGAGAGAGTTTCTCTTTTGGCAGAGTAAACATTTATTCATCGTCGATAATTTTTCTTTTTAGGATGCTTTTTTACAAAAAAAGCCCTAACTTTTAGCACGGTTATTTTTTATCTTAAAAGTTTATTTTCTGAATCAAAGCAATGGCAATGGCGGTTAAACACATCACCGTAATGGAGTATTTCCCCCACGTAAAAACAATGGTTTTTTTACCATCTTTGGCAGTTAAATGACCATTAGTAGGTTTAGGATGCTCCGTTTTTTCAGTAATTTTAGTTGGCATATTAATGCTTTATAGGTTGAAGAGGTTTAAATAAGTTAAACATGCTTTCTCCCATTTGCCGATAGGCTTTGCCTAACTTTTCTAATTCTTGTTCGCGATGAATGGTTAATTCTTTAGCATCCTTTTTACATTTAGCACAGCAATCAGTAATCTTGCCCGATCCTCAGTTATTAGCTAGACAGTGATAATAACCAGTAGTGAATTTTTGTTTCAGGGATTTGGTTTGGGATTTAGGGGAAATTGCGGAGGGTAAATTTAGTTTCTTTACTCCTTTCTTTTTAGATTTTTTTAAGGCTTTTTCGGCAATTTTTGTTTTGTTAGTTTTCTTTTTTTTAGTCATAAATTTTAATCTTGGGTTAAATTTTCAAAATAGTGATTTTCATAGCAAACGTAATCTTTGAGTTCAGTGATAATTTGCTTCATGACATAACGAACATATCACAGAGCAATCTCTTCGGCTAAATAATTTTTGTCCGGTAATTCTTCTTCTGCATACCTATCTCGCAGTTCACATTCTAAGGTGCGATAATCAGGATCTCTTCCTAAGAATAAACCGGTCAAGTTTTGGTGTTGTTCACTAAAATTGTAAGCCGGAGTAATTAACTTTAAACCAGGTAAGGGCAAGTTTTGAATTAATAAATTATAAATCTTTTCTTGGGCTAATAATTCAACTTCCTCTCAAAACTTCTCTAACTGTTTTTCAGTGCGATTTTTTGCCATGATTACTTATTCTTGTTAGCAAAAAATTGTTGGTAAAGGATTACGGCACCAGCTCCTAAGGCAGCACCAATTAATAATTCTTTTCAGTTTTCTTTGATTTTGTTTAGCATAATTTTTTTAGTTTTTGGTTTTTAAAATGGGCTATAACAGCAAAAAATGAGGGTTGGGAATTTATATTGAGTGGGAAGTTTTAACGGAAAGGAATTTACCTGAAATGGTTATTCAGCTGAAATTGTTTTTTTAGGCGACAGTTTTAATGCTAAAAGGCAGTAAAACTAGGAAAGTATTAATTAACATTTCTACCGTTTGTTGGATCAGGAATCCAATTCCTAAGGCTAATAGGCTACAGTAAATGAGACTTTGGTTGATTATCATAATAGTTTAGTTAGCTTGGGTTAAATAGATTGCCCATTTGGCGAAATTGTCCAATTCCAGTTTTACTTCAATGTCGTAAATATAAACCGGCAATTAAGCAAATGGAGTATCAAATGATTGTAATGATTTCCATAAAGTTTGGTTGTTTTTAGTTAAATAGAGGGAGAGTTTAAGAAAGGAGGGAGTTATTTTTCAACTTTTGGTCTACGACAATGGAATAATCTCAGATTATTCATTTCAAGGCACTTTAACAAAGTACCTAAGAAAGTCTAGTTGTCTTTTCAAAAGTAATTAATTAAGAGTAAAACAAAGATCCCTAAAGCAATGACAATTAAAACTTGTTGCGTGCGTTGTCAATGCTCTAAGTGTTTAGTAAAAAGTTCTTTGTATTCTTGACTTTTATTTTCAAAAGTTTCTTTAAGTTTTTCATCATAAAAGGAGTTAAGAGCTCCTTTAAAGTTTGGTAATCATTCTTGTCAGTTTACCATAATAAATTTACTTGTTTTTAGGAATGATTAACTTGCTCTTCAGCCTTGGATTCTTCCAAAAACTCTTTACATTTTCAGTATCTTTCTCCATGTTTGTCCGTGCGAGGAATAGCGAGAAAATGTTGATCCGCAATCTTAACTAACAATTTATCTTTTCTTAATCAAGCGAGAATGGGAGTTTTAGTAGGATTAATCACATGGCAAGTGCAAGTGGTGAGGGCGAGGGAGTTATTCATAAGGATTTTTATTCGTTAGATTTGATTGGTTGATTATCGGAAGTGCTTTTGACATCACTTTTTCACAATTTACCAAAGATATTTTGGATAAGACCACTGCGTTCAATAAAGATTCCGACAGCTAGACCAATCGCAGCCCCGGCTAATTTACCAGTAGCTCAAGCGTATAATGAATTGTCATTTAGATTTTCGTTATTTTTTGTCATATTTTTTATTCAGTTTTGTTTTTTAAATAAGAAATAACTATGTAAGCCAAGGTAGCATAGATAGAAATAGCTCCGATGACGATGGTAGCATTAGTGAAGGTATTGCTCAAGGTTCATTCGTAGTCTTCGCGATTAATAAAATTTGGTTTACTACTTGGGATTGCTTTTTCTTTAATAAATTTTGCCATTATTTTTTTTCTAATAATTTTTGTAATAGTTGATTTTGTTCTTTTAACAAGGAATTGGTAAGGGTTAGAGAATTAATAATTTGTTGTTGAGAAACTTTTTGAGAAAGGGAGAAATTCCTAATTTCATTAACTAGGGGTTGGAGATTAATTCCTAAGGGATTATATCAGTTCATAAGTTTAAATTTGCGAATAATCTTTTAAATAAAGTCTAAGTTTAATTTCATTCTCTTCTAACTGGATTAAAGATTTTTCATCAGTAGCATATTTTATTTGTCAGCGAATGACCTGAAGTAATAAAGGAAGCACTACCGAATGTGGATCTACACCAAAAACTTCTTCCAATTTTGGTAGCAAAAGCGGTAAATTTAGTTCTAGTTTATAAACTAGTCCACATTCAGGCATTTGGAAATTTAAACTAATATTGGGGAGATTATTCATGATTTTGTTGATTTTGATTAGAATTAAATTGGGTTGATTTATTAAAATCACCTTGATTAGTTCCTAATTCAATTTGCTTTTTTTCGTGAGTTAATCGTAAACTTTGGAAACTATTTGCGATGTTTTGATCATTTCTTTTTAACAAAACAATTTCTTGTAAAAGCAGATTTTGAGTATCAATCATACTTTGTAAAACAGGAAATAATTGTTGTGAAGACTGATCATTAGGAACGGGATTAGTTATGGCTGGTAATTTTTGTCCAGTTAGTTTAGCCACTAAGGTAGGAACTAAAGGAGTTAAAACACTGCTTAAAATACTCATTAAACTTGGTTCTTGATCATTAGGAGGATTATTTTGGGTTTGGGAATTGTTTTGGGAATTAGTATTTTGGGGGTTGGAATTATTTTCTTGGAATTTGTTCATAAGGAGGGATTATTTAGTAAGGGTAATCAAAAAATTGAGCGCATGTAAACCACCAGCGAGCGAACCTAAATTAAGGTTAGTTAATCATTGTAATCATTGCGGTTTAAATAATAAGACTACACAAACTACAATTATTCCGAGGAGGAAGAAATGTTTTTTTTCTCACTGAAATCCTCTGTCGGTTCATTTACTGTTCTCGGAGAAAGAATTAGGAGTATTTTTTTCTTGACCAAACATAATTATTTATCAATTTCTCTTTTCAGTAAACTAGAGGAACGGAAATTAATGCGATTGTAAAGCAAAATTTTACCATGGTTTTTACCGGGTAAACTATTTCTTACTTGGTGCTGGGTTTTCTCAAAAGTTCCTAAATTACCAAATCGGAATGTTTCACCAGGTTTGAGTTTCTTTAAAGAATTAATGAGTTCAGTCACTGCTAGATCACGAGCAACTTTTTTTTCTTTTTGGGAATATTGGGAAAGAGTTATGTTCATAATTATTCAGTTTCTTTATTGGCTACTAAATATTTATGGGCTACCGAACCAACGATGCCTACGACCATAAAAATAGCCATATATTTGAAAAATTCTTGCATATTTTTTATTTAGTTTTTAGTTATTAATAAGTAAAAGTGAAAGAGAAACTTTTCTATTTATTCTTAACGGCTGATGAATATTCGGAAATATTGGTGAACTTTACTTTTTTTGGTTAAAAGATCAGTTAGTTTTTAAAATGTAAAGATATTCAACTAAAAAATACTATTCTTTTTCCGGATCAAGGAGTAATTTTGGCTAAATTATCTTTTTGCATTAAGAAATAAATAGGAAGCGGGAAGGGAAGCAGACAAGGAACTAAATCTAATCATGCTTTTCAACATCACTAGTTTTACCTTACCATAAATAAAGAATAACTTTCTAAAACTTTTTCGTTATTCTAAATTCTATTGGTAAGTTCTATATGGTTTATTTTAGTAAGTTATTTAATAGAAAACGCAAATTTGACCCCTACATGTAGATAGCCCGTTAAGAGGGTTTTTTTTCTAAGAATAAGCAAAAAATAATTTTTCTAATTTTGGTAAATTTTAGTCACCAAAAAAACTAAAATTTAAAGATTTTTGCTAATTTTTTAAAAAATAGTGAGATTTAAGAAATTTTTATTGAGATATAGAAGTTATCTAATTCTTTTGCCTTTTTTATTATCTTTTTGGAGTTTTTCTAATTCTTGAACTTCCGGAGTAGTTCATAAAAACTTTTCTAATTCTTCGGTCAGTTTTTCGTGGGCTTTGCTGTGTTCTTCTACTAAAAGCAAGCCATAATCACTAATTACGCAATGTGCCACTTCATGAGCGATGGTATAAATTAAGCGACTTAAATTATACTCTTGATAGTAATTATTATCTAAACTAGCCAAATTAGCCAAGTGATGAGCAAAACGAATATCTAAATGGATAATTTTGCGATAAACTTTTAACTTGCCGAGTAATTCCTTGGCTATTCTAGTTCTTCCGTATCAATTATAACTTAACTCAAAACCTCCAAATTCAAGATAGTAAGAAATATTAACTGGTTTCTTAATTTCAGGGATTAATTTTCCTTGGTAAACTCGGTAAGTTTGATTAATTAGATGAGCAATTAATTCTCTCGTTTATCTCTTTTTCTTTTTAGAGTGAAAGATATCGCGAGGAGTGCAAATTACTTCAATAGTATTAGGTTCTTCTCTTTTACTTTTTTTCAAAGTATTTATGTCTTTCTTGATTAATTTGCCTATCTCTCGAAGTCTTTGTTGTTCAGTGAATAATTCTTTATTATTTCTTACCATATTAACTTATTTTAAAATGGTTTTTCTTTAAAAAACTTTTTTCATGCTTTAATAAAAAATTTTTGGTTTTCTTCTACGATGGCTAAAATTTTTCTTTCTTCGGAATAAGTTAGTCCTCGCGAATATTCCACCGATAAGACTTTTAAAGAAACTTTCATAATTCCTCCCGAACCTTCGGCATGAATGTGTGGTTCTTCTCCCCGATCATGCGAAGTAAAGAAAAAGCGAAATCCTTTCTTCTTTTCAAAACCTTTTATCGTTGGCATATTTTAGCAACAGCCACTTTCTAAGCCATCGGTAAACACTCGTAAACTAAGGTCTTCATCTAATTTAGGTCAGTGAATATGGTAAGCATCCGGTAAAATGCGGTAGTTTTTTAATTGTTTTAAAGTGGCTTTGCGTAATCTAGTAAACCAAGTAGTAGGGACACTTAATTTTCGTCCATCTTCTAAAAAAGCCGTAATTTCTTGTTTACTACATTCTAAGTTTAAAAGCCGAGGTTGCTGTTTATAGATAATTAGCGGTTGCTTTTGCTTGCTTGCTATTTCTCTTAATCGCATGATATTAACTTATTTTAAACTTCCATTACATAATCTACTAATAGATTAGTGCCATTCTTTCCTTCTTCCACCGTGAAGTTTATTTCTTTACCTTCGGTTAA